AGGCAATAATAGACAGTGCCTAATGACTAAAACTTCGAAGTCATGCATAAGAAAACGACAATGTCTATCCATTGCTAAACATGCGTAAACATTTTCATTTGATGTGAAACGAGAACAATAATGGCTAACTAATAGGGATTCTAGAAGAAATGTGATTAACGGTAGACTTTGATTAACTAGGATTGATATTTTGTTAAGTAGTGATGTATTAGAAGCCACAGTAATTATAAGTTCTTTATAGTATAAAACGGAACTAAGGACTCAATTTTTACACTTCCCTTCTTCCCTCTCCTCTCTTGTTCTTTCTCTGATCAATTCCATCCCCTTCCTTCCCTTCTCATCACTACCACTGTCCACATGTCTCTAAACTGTCCAAAATCAATGTACATGATCTGGAAGTAGAACATGGAAAACCCAATCAAGCCTGGAGAGCTGACCATTTAAATCCAGCTAATATGGGCTCAAACTCGTAGGATACCACTATCGTGGGGATCGAATATTTGACCTCCTAAATAAACATGCATGTGTGTTTGATTTGTTGATGCATGAAATTTGGACAAACTATTTATAGAGCTCCATAACGAATGCAATCAGTAGTCTAACACGGTGGGTTCGACAAAGTCTGACTGATTAGTGTTAAATTGTTACCTTCTGTTAATAGCAGATAATTCCAGAATGAAAACTTCATTCTCGATTCTACAAGAATTTTTATGAAAGCCTACAAACTATGCAAAACACGAAAACTGAAGAATTTGTAATACTGGGAAGGACATGTGTACTTACGAGTGATCCAGGCTAACAGAGGCTGACTTCAAACCCTTTTCACGGTGAGGATTCAAGCTAACTTGAAGAAATATGAGATCTGAAGTATATGCAGCAACACATCTGCTAAAAATCCACATCATAAAATAAAAATAGATGTTACTCACTCTCAACAAGGGGAAGAGAATTAAATCTACTTGAAGAAAGCCATTTAAAAGTTCAAGAGTTAACTGTGACAGGTCATAACGACAAAAGAATAAATATCTGGTTCCAATATACGAAAAAAGGGCATACCGTATGGAATAAGAACTTTCAAGACAGACAAATCTAGAAGCAAAAGGAGTTCAAAAATGATTTCATGTCACTATAGTACTGCAAATAAATAGAGATCAATTCATTTTTTATGCTTGAGAAGAGTATGCCCAAGAGTAGATCATGCAGATACAAGGTAAATTGGATGAAAACTGATCATTCTCAGGAAAATAATACAATATATAATCTGGAAACAGGGGAACAAATTCATCACACCGCACATGTACATATCACACGTCATTGAACTCTTTGAAAAACCAATATACCACCGAGGTGGCAACTAATGCTGGCAACAAGAAATACCAGAAAATATAGATGCGAAAGAAGATTCTCTTACCTATGCAAAGCCTGGTCATCAGAAAGTTTTCCTTTTGCTCTAAACCAATACCTTAAACTGTAGAATAATTGCAAAAAATACGGTCAATCAGACAACCATTTTTCTAGTCTTCACAATGATTCCCTTTTAAATGGAGTCAATGGACAACAACAGAGAATGACATTTAACCTCGGAGGAGACTTAGTCTGATTGGTGGAAGTATTATGCTCACAGAACCTGATCTCTATGGGCCAGGGTACATATTCCCTACTAGCAACCTTGTTCCGGTATGTCCTGTTTCATATTATTGTTTGAAATCAATAGAACTTAATGTAATAGATGAACGAATCATTAGTTTTTATTTGACACTAAGTGGAGGAAAACTAAATGTGCTGTAGGTATATTCTCCCAAACAATATAACAGGAAAGGTGACAAAATGTCTGACTTCCAATGCATAGAATTATAGAAGAAAAAATTGTCAATTCCCACATCAAAGAAAACAGTGACACTATTTAGTACATCATATCAATATTTTGGGCGACTAATGCACATCCACGAGGACCTTGGCAGAAGTAGAAAGTCCAATATAAGTACCCTTCAATGCAATGCGAAGCATGAAGGGGTCCACAACACTAAGAAAACTGTGATACATGCTTTAGTCATGACGCCTATCACAGAGAAATTAGTTACTGCTAGAAGCTAGGTCCTAAAATTTTCATGTCTCTAAGGTTTCTTCAGATTTACTTTTTTTTATTTTTTTTTTTCCATTTGAAACACAGATAAGGTTATTCAGACGGTATTGATACACACAAAAAAAGTACGAACAGAATATTTCATTTTTGTTTCAGAACTGCTCTTCAACTAAGCTTGCAGACCTGTTTCTGAATACAACTAAGTACATCCAACAAATGTTTATTCTATGTATTAAAATAATAAAGGGGGTATGCAGTGCCATTACTAATGAATACTTGGTGTTTCCTGGTAACCTATGGTTGGTAGCTGAAGATGTAGATGTAGAGTGCTTAGGCAGTTGGCATTGGCAATAACATATATATCCCTTGTTTTATAAAGATTAAAGTCTGATTTTTAGTATATTTTGATAAAAGTTGATAGGACTGTACAAAACGCTCGAACCGAACAAGACCGAACGGAGCAGTTCTCCTTAAGTTAAATACCTAAATGGGTATCTGAATCGAAAATCGACAAATTCGTTTTAGTTCTCGGTTCTAGATCAAGAACCAAATAATCGAATAAAAATCAAATCTCACTTAATTTTTAAATTTTTTAATATTAAATAAGCCAAATTATTTAATTTTTTGCTAAATAAATTTGCCAACTAATTAATTGAGCCCAAAAATATCATTTTCCTATTTTATTTGCCAATTAACTAATTTAGCCCTAATCCAAAATGGAGTTTGCATTGAAGAGACGGGGTTATATGAGGACTACGTTATTTTGTAAGAGTGAAGATCGAACATATCATTAGTTAAATTAATGTAGTATTGTTGTAAATATTTAAAAAATTAATTATGATACGGAACCCGAGAACCGAACCGAACCAAACCAAACCCATTCAGTTCCATAATTAAATTTAGATATGACGATTTCACATACTAAATACTCGAAAATTCGGGTTTGGCTTGAACCAGACCATGTCCAACCTTAAAGTTAATGAAATATTTGGTTGAAAAGTTTAGAAAAATTGAGTTTCCTATGAAATATGTGATTGAAAATGAGTTTTAGGAAATTGATGTTTAGAAAATGGGGGATCAAACAAGGGCATGATAAAAACCTTCACAAATCATGCAAATCAGTAAGCAAAAATTGAAAAGTACAACATGATGAGAGAGTAAAGAAATAACAAAATTATCCCTTGAAAATAAATACAACCAATGCATTGCCACACGATAGAGAAAGATAAGAACCTAACCTGGGGAGCCGAGGATCAATGATACGCCTTTCTCGCAATTCCTCCATAGATAAAAGCTGAAGAAATAAAAAATTTAAGTAAACTATCGGAGAAACAACCCATTATAGGAAATAATACAACCACATGTTGGCTACCTCTTCTGGATTAGGTACGGAAGGCATTTCTGCCACCTGGTGATTGAATCCGCCTTCCTCTTTCTGTAAGTTATTTGAATCAAATGTTAGATGCAGTTTCTATAGTTTTCCAGCATTCACCTATGAGGTGGAAGGAGAAAAAGGACACAGGAAAGACATAATAGAATGCACCAGTGGGAAATCATATCAGAAACTCTACCAAATTTTAAATCTCGGCAAGCTCCAAGTGTTAGTATTAAAACTTGATTATTTAACAGCAAAATTATCTGATTTCATGTCTTCAAGACCTATAGCAGGCCATCAATTGAATCATAAAACAATATGGTAACAAACACTAAATGACGAGATGAGCATGTTGCAAAAGATAAAACAAGAAACCAGTCAAATTTATGAAATGGTAGATATAACAAACAGCAGACTGAGCCTTATTCTAAATAAATTTGGGGACAGTTACATGAATCCTTTATTACTACTTTGCCTCATTCAACTATTATATACAGAATACATTTTAAGATCACTAGGCCAGGAAGGAAAATATGATTACTTGAACTGACATGCATACAGGCCAGCCCCTAATCTCAGTATGATAAATACAAAATGAGTAATTAAATTCATCAAACAAAGATTCTTTAACGTGTAAACTCTTTGAAACTATAATATCAGAGCTATAAAAATATGGCACGTATTTTCAACATCACTACATCTCATTTCATGTCCAAAAAATAAAAATTTTGAGATCCAACTACAAGATTTATACACCTATTAGTTAACGCAGAGAAGTCCAGGACCTCTTTTTACAAAATTTCCATAAGCTTTCTGTTGTCGACAATTTACACTATATATTTCCCTTCTCCTTTTATTTTCATATAACACAAGAAAGGGGATAAGAACATTGTATACATGTGACCAGGAATAAAATACAGAAAGATTATAGCCTCTGAACTGCATGGGATTTCACTTGAGCCTATTAATTTGTAGTGCAAGATATAAATGTGACTAGTAAAGATGCCAGAAAGTTGAGTCACTTCTGCTTTAAATTTCGAGCACTACCTGAAATGAAGCAAGCAAGGTAAATACAACGTTCCCATTTTGTATTGCCTCTACCCTTCTGGTAGCAAAGCTTTTTCCATCGCGTACGCGGTGCACTTGATATGTAATTGGCACTGTAAACCAGTTACGATTTCTTGTTTAAGAACTTTTGCATCAGAAAAATAAATAAATAAATAAATGCATGTTAGATGTGGTTAAATTTCTCGTGAAATATATTAGCACAATGGTAAAGCAAAAATGGTAGTCCAAGCAAATTTAACTACAAAATATTCTTTCTTACTTTTCCAGCGAGTCATTGATAATGAACATATACATGGTCAAATCTGTAATTTAGTACTGGTTAAGGAGGGTATTGTGATTCCATCAACTATAATCCATAATCTGGAGCCACTGATAATGAACATAAACAGTGCACTGTCAAATCAGTTATTGAAAATCCATAATCTGGAGGAACTGATTAGGGTCTTGTGATTCCATCAAGTACTAAGCACTTGAGATAAAATTGTGTAGACACTCGAGTAAACAAATGTATCATAGATAAGTCAAAGATGCCAACTTATATATAAATCACTGGTCAAGCTATGAAAAGAATCACGAGTGTGTATCATGCAATGCAATACAAATCTGTCATATACTTTGCAGTCACTTATAATCTCGTGGTATGCATCATCATTACAAGTACATGTTGAAGATTTTAAGAGAACTAATGGCTATAAGCATTACGAAAGTAGACAAAGAGGATACTTACTGTTAAAATCCCCAATAAGAAGGAAATAAGCATGCAAACTGTGAACAATCTTAAGACAATCGACAGTTTTTGATGCTGCAGCAAGTGCCTGAATCATTAGCCATTATGGATTGTCATAATTAAAATTCCAACTACTAGGAATGTCCAACCATAAGAGCAAATAAGGAAAAGGAAAAGAAATGGACAACACTCAGCTTGGTCATGCTGAGCTAGATAGAGATATACTTAAAAAGAAACTCAAACCATACTTGTCCGATAAACTGTCCTCCAAACACTTTTCCAAATTTTGGAGCATCAGGCAAAGTGATACCTTGGAAAATGTTAACCTGCCAAGGAACACAATAAAACTTGAGCACAAACTTATTTTTCTTTCATAGAGACAATTATAATATTAACATTTCCATAGTGAAAGAGACCCTTAAAATGAATCTTAATAACACATTATGTTGAGTTACGTGATCTGCTGGTGCACGGTATAAATTTGTAAATATTGATTAGCATTTACTGTCACATTGTTTAAGTAAATAACACAAGATAGAAGGAATTGATAGTTCTCATTGGTGGTATATGATGGTTGAATCTGATGGAAAAGAATGGAGCTTTTACTCTTATAGAGTGCAATTGATTCCCATGCATTTATTAAAACATAAATAAATATTTGCTTCTGGGAAAGAATATACCCATATACAAGGGCACACAATTTAGCTGAATAAGTACATTGAAGAGTCAATTTAAGTGGGAATGGATTTCGCTGTTTTAAAAAACAAATAAATGCCCAATGAATGACACAGTCACCTCATGACATACAATCCTCAAGGAACCAAACTACTCTTGCAAAGGAAAAAAGATCGGAGTATAGAGATTGATCAATAAAAAAAAGTTCCACCAATCACCAGAACGCATAATTGACCAATATTACCCAAGCAATGCCAAGCTGTTTCTCACTAAAAAGGGGCTTTAAAAATGAACCAGGAGATCCATAGTTTCTTTTTTTCTTTTTCTTTTTTCTTTTTTTTCTTTTTTTTATGACTGTGGGTGTTCAGGCTAATTTACGCGTACCTCGACTAATGTCACAGGGCCCTGAAGTTTACAGTCGAGTACTCACCTCAGTGGCCCTGAGGGGACTCGAACTGGTGACCATTGAGGAGCAAACCTAAGGACTGGCCACTAAGCTACCCCTCAAGATTGATTCATAGGTTTTCTAAGCTTTAGAAAATCCAAAAATCAAGATAATGCATAATTTGATAGTTTTGAAATTTAAAGTTCCAAAAAAATATTGTTTTTTTGTTAAATTATTGAAGATTCTTCCAACAATATCAGTTGAGTTTACAACCACCTTCCCTTACCCATTTCTTTCTTTCTTTCCTTTTAACTATTATCTTTTGAGGCTTTTACTGTTGGGGATGGTGGGTGAGTGTCACCGGTTTTGCTTTGGTTATTGACTATCAGACCTATTTACATTTCAAAGAAAAGTGCAGTGAATTTTTCTTGTAAAATAAGCCATAAAACTGTGTCTATACAAAACTATGTTAGTTAGCCAGGATGGAGAAAAATTATAAAAACATAACATTCCACGTAAAGGAAGAGAAAAAACAAGTAGTGTTAGGAAAATACTTCTACAGGATCCAAGTGCAGTATTCTCTCCGCAAGTGAGAATTTCTCATGTGTCTCATCAGCACTCCATATTGATTTGGATTCTAACAAATTTGTATGCTCCTTTGGCAGGAGTAAGCATGTCAGCTGCCAACAGAGACATGCACCAAAAGATTAACCATAGAACTTGATATAGCAACAGGTGTACTTGAAAAGTCTAAAAGCATGTTTACATGCCCTAGGAATAACAATGTAAGCACATTAGATAAAGGGGGTACCTTAGACAATGCAATAACATCCGCATGCTGAGTTGATGATGCCATACCTGCAATAGCACATCAGTCATGTGACATGTTCGCCAACAATATGGGTCAATCTTCCTAATAAAGAGGCTATAGTATGCGCAAGTTTGTTATATCTACAGATACAACCTACACACACATAAAACATGCAAATAACAAAGGATTGGCATATGAACTTGTATATCCAAGACAAACACAATTTTTAAGTTACAATGAAATCTGAAACAATCATAAAACAATGGCTGCTCAAAGGCCATCAAAACGAGAATCAAACTACACAGTAAAGACAACCATATTAAGGAAGAAAATGTATTACAAGAATTAGCCTCTAACCATGACCAAAGTAATCATATTGCTTGAGGTGAAATTCAGGACGATTTTCCTCATCAGCATGGAAAGACCCACAGACTTCAGCCTGTAAAACATAAAATGCACCTTAACAAACAAAAAACAATCACACAAGCATAAAAGTATTAACCAAAACATGAAATGCAAAACTTACTTCTCCATCCAATATGAAGTAAATTCCATCCGCCACTGCTTCCCCTTCATGAACTATGTAATCACCTTGATCTTAATAGTAACAACCCAAAAAAATAAATAAATAAATAAAAATAAAAATTAGAAGACAAAAACTATTCAAATATCAATGCACTGATTAGTAAAGCAAGTTTGGGAAGTATTTATAAACAGTAAATAAAATGTGTTATGGTAAGTGGATAGTATATGTGGATCCCTCGATTTGTTTGGACAAAAAGTGGTTTAAGTGTTTATAGATGGTTTATTAACATGAGCCAAACATACAAAGGCTAAGATACTGCATCAGTGCTTCATCATTAAATGCAAAACAAAGCAAGTATTCAAAAAATGCTTTTAATCAGCACATAATGGCTCATCAATAGCAGAAAAATAAACTAATTTTCAAAGGAACACATTCACTTTCTAAATGAAAAGGAAATACTAGTGTATATTTGGTAGCGTGGAATGTATCTTCAGAATCGCATAAGAAGCCAAGAAGGCACTGTATTTATTTCATTTTTTCATCCCCAATCTTTGCGAAATATAATAAATCTGTCATCGAACTTTTTTTAGCATAATCCATCTCCAACCTTTCAATTATGTAACAAAACTCTTCCTTCCTTTCATTTTGTCTAATAAATGACTGGTTTGCCCTTCTCTTTAAATAAACAAAAATAGAAGAAACCAATAAAACAAGAAAAAATAAAGTAAAATAGCAAATAGAATCCGGTAACTTTTCAATGCATTTCACTTAAAACAATTAAATACATATTAACACATAAGAAAAAAAATTATTTTAAAAATTTTCATCTTCCCTAGGTAAGTTACCTTACCGCCCGTAGCCAAACACCACCTCCACGAATGCAATCACGTTAACATCACCATGGAAAATTAATTCACAAAAAAATAATGAAAAAGGATTGGATAAAAGAATAGCACCCTATATCGTAAAACCACCACCACCATCAGTAGGTTACAATCTAGGTTGTTAATTTCTTCTATCCAGCCTTTTTTAATTAATTTTTTTATGGTGGTTGTGATGCTCCCGCCACGTGATTGCATTTGTGGAGATGGTATTCGGTCACGGGACAGGTGGAGATGGTATTCGGTCACGGGACAGGGTGGATGAGCGAGCTTGGTTTAGGAAGATGAAATTTTTCTATATCTTTTTTCATGTATTAATATGTATTTAATTGTTTTAAATAGGATTTATTTATATTTTTCGAAAAGTTATGGAACTACATTTGTAATTTTTCCTTCTTTTTTGTTGTTTTATTGATTTCTTTATTCTTGTTTATTTAATGAAGGGAAAGTCTGTTCAAAGCGGAGGACATGATGATTTTTACTACATAATTGAAAGGTATAAATGGACTGTGCTAAAAAGAGGATAAGGTAGATCTGTTACATTTTGCAAAGGTTGGGGACAAAAAGTACAACTTTTCTTATTATTATTGATTGACTGAAACTAGGGGCCCTTCAATATAACTTTTAAAAAGTCAAAAGCAGCTCTTGAGACTCAAAAATTGAGTTTTATCCCAGTTAGCTAAGTTGGTCCAATTTGGCTTCATTTAAAAACACTTTCGAAATAGGATGTTCTTTTGAAAATTAGTACCAAACAAAAATTAAGTAGCTCCTCCAAAAGCTTTTCCACCAGAAGCAAAACGAGCCTCAATTTTTTTGGGCTCTGCTGCCCCTGTTTGAGTAGCATTCATCCAGTTTTTTCTTTTGTGCAAAGTGGATTCAAATACAATAATTTCCAATTAAATCGATCGATCGATCGATCGATCAAGATAAAATAATATCCAAGAGAATTACCATAGTGTTTAACAGCGACAACCGAAGCGATCTTTCTAAGGGAGGAACTTGGGAGTTTTTGGAGCAACGGAACACAGCCCAGGAACTCGATCACTGTCAATCCAATAAACAAATAAAAAGGAATTGTTTTCACAAAAACGAAATTTAATTAAAAAAATTACCAAGAATCCGGAACAGAAACTGTAATGGCTAACCTGAGTCTGAATTCATTGTTCGGAAATTCGAGTAATAAA